GATCAAGAGAGACATCGACGCGTGAACGGTAGCAAAGCGTGGTGTAGACAGCCGAAGGAACGTAGAAACATGGGTTGTTTACATGGGTAAGGTTGTTGGCGAATCGTCGTCTCCGTTCCGAAGCCACCCTCGAATTTTCGACGACCGCATAGCTCGACCTTCGATTCCACCGACTCCACCTCCATCACCTCCACCACCTCCACCAGCTCCACCAGCTCCACCTCCACCTCCATCTCCACCTTCATCTCCTCCCCCTGCTGCTCGTTTTCCCTTTCCTACGTTATTTCGTTCTCCACCTCTTCCTCTTTCCTCTGCTCGGTACACGTATCGTTACTACGAGCGTCCGGTTGTCATGCGTCGACGGTGCTGGTGATAAGGCGCGACCCTATCGGATCTCGTCCACGTCGATAGCCCGCAATCGACCCGGCGACGTTTCTTTTTCTACCAGATCGTCTCGGTTCCTTCGACTTGGGTGAACTCTTACTACCGCGAGATAGTACCTACATTTTTCGAGTGGCCGATCGTGCGTGGACAAGTGCGTCGATATACTCTCCAAGTGTTGTCCGATCGGCATACCACGTCAACGAGTCTGTTTCGGCTTTCGTCGGTAATCCGTCGAGGCTTTCGACATTTCGACAACACGATCGCGGCAATTGGATATCTAGAAAAGGTGAAACGCGTTTCGAGAAGGAAGGGAAGACAGAGGGAGACAGAGAGGATATCGCGACCAATGTGATTTTTCGGGGAAGCGATCGGAGGAAAATTAGGGAAGGTCGACGAAACAACGGATTTCGGGTGCGTTCAATGCCTCGTTGCCATCGCGAAACCTGCCGCTGTACCTTAGCGTTGGAAAGAACAGCGGCAGGTCGATGTGGTCTTCGAGAAGCATGACGCAGGATGATGCATCTAGTGGACGTAGTCCTCGAGAATAGAAAGAAGAAGGAGAGAAACTTGTTCGAAGCGAAGAAACCGTTTATCGAAAAGATGGAATTGTGCGATGGTACGCGACAGGATAACTCGTTACTTGTAGGACGTGCTACTTTTGCTCCCTACTGTCCGAGAAAATAGAGCCTTTTTCTACGTTGATTTCTCCGTTTCCCAACAAGTTGAGAAGAGGACAAGAGAGAAGAATGCGACGATATCTTGTTCTCTCGGAGGAAGACGTGGAGGGAAGCGTACGAAAGGTGTCCGGCGAAAGATGATCTCGCGTGTAGTTGGTCGGAACGATCGTTTAATTGGTCGGTTCACGGTGGTAAAGCATCACGCGTTGCGGCCAAAGTAGGACCGTTGGCGAATTAGTGCGCGAACGACGCGACGCGACGCGACGCGACGCGACGCGACGCGACGATTAAAGATCAGCCGCGGGGAGCATGATCGTCGAGGAAGAAAGATCGAAGGCAGTTACATTGACAGATTTCTCTGGTGATCTCGGAATTGCCGAAGCGTCGAAGCCGAGAAGGATTGGTTACAGGTGGAGGACGGTGGAGGAATCGATCGGTAAGGAAGATCGGTAACAAGGACAAAGTTGAAGTACGCTAGATCTTGTGGTTTGGTGGGGGGCGACAAAGAAGAAAGGTCTGGTGAAGAAAGAAGAAAGGTCTGGGGGGTGGGAGGGGTAGGTAGGGGGTAGGTAAGTGAATCGGAAGGAAGGAAGGAAGCGGAAGAGGAAGTCGAGAAGGGTTGGATGGTTCCACGGGGGCTAAACGTTGGGAGGTCGATTTGGGAGCAAGCCGAGGCCGAGGCAGAGGCAGAGGCAGAGGCAGAGGCAGAGGCAGAGGCAGAGGCAGAGGCAGAGGCAAAGACAGGGGCAGAGCCGGAGCAGCAACGTTTCTACGATTCTCCGCCGCCACGGATGGACGTGAGCGTGTGCTGCTTACCCGCGAGTGCCGGCTCGGGGGCCCAGCACCCTCATCCAGCGAGTTTGCCTTCCGGCGGACAGCCGACGATTCAGCCACCCTATCAGTATGCCGATCAGATAGTGCCGGATCGGGGTCAGCCCGACGGATTGCCGGTACTTGGGTGTACCGGTCAGGATAACTGGCAGCAAATCTCCTCCGCGTCGAACGTTGTTGGCGCTGTCACCTCCGCCGCCGCCGCTACCACCACTGCTACCACCACCTATATCGACTACTCTTGGTTGCAGATGCAGGTGAGACCGTTGTTTTTCTTCTCCGCTTTCCATTTTCTCCAAAATCATCCTTTCTCACTTTGCATCGTCAGAAATTTATAGGTAGGCGAGAGATAGCGTATCGATTCGGAGCAAGCGTTAGATCGTAAAATAATAGAGCCAAGTAATAACGGCCATTACTATTATCTTGGCCCGAGTAATCGTTCTTCCCTTTTAGACGTAGCGGCGTTTCCACATAAAGCCGCGCGCGTTGTTGACAGGGCAAATATCCTTTGATACGCCGTGCCGTCCGTCTGGGACACGCGTCGCACGCCTTTCCACCTTACCGCCCGACTTCCCCATCTCTCCGTTTACTATTTACGCCTTTTTCGAATTAGGCTCGCCCTCGGGTAAAAAAAGGGCCATCTCCGATACGAAAGAGGTTGGAAACCGTTTGTATGGGTAACGTGGTTCGACACCTTTCGCGGTCCTTTTTCCCGCAAAAATTGATCTTTACAGCAGTAGGAATTCGCAACGGACGAGGAATAATAATGAACGGCGGCGAATGGTGAATTTTTGTCGGATCGCGTCACGTAACGCTCGTTTCGGCAACGTTGAAACGCGCGGTGAATAGGTATGTATCATCGTTGCTAAATATAATAGTAATAATAACGACCGGCGCTTCTTTCGATTAGGAAGCTTCTCTTTTTCTCCGATCTTATCGATCGAGACCGCCGCCCTCCAGTCTCCCCCACAGTTTTTGCGCGGTGACTTTCGAGCGCGAGTCGCTCCTCGCTTTTTCTACGACGGATATGTGTCGCGATTAGAATAGGAAACCGGTTATTCGATACCGTTACCGATACCACCAGATACAACTTTTGGCAACTCCTTTCTTGTTGACGCCGCTCGCGAGAATCGATTTTTTCTCCTCGATGTGAACGATTTGGCGGCGAGACAGCGACGAAAGAATGGCGAGCGTGGCGAAGAGCAGCAGAGAATGGCGGTCGTAGAGAATGGCTCGGTACGTTTCTAATTAGCCGTCACCGGAACGCAATCTAAACGTATTGTGACGCGCGTAAGATAATAAGCGGACGGAAATCCACGATTATCGTGGTCAGGCAGAAAGGGCATCCCGACGACGAGCACCGGACGAACCATTTCCACGGTTCACCGCCCTTCGTTTCAGCTCTGCGTATGATTACCGTTCCACCGATTATTTCGCTGAACGTTCGACCGGAGAACAAACGCAATTAACGTTAGATCGTGGAAGATCGTCCGGTTAAAATACGAGGACAATCTTGTTTGCTCGGGGGGAAACTCTCTCACGCGTTTAACCTTACGACAATTTCCTCTCTTTTCGAGAACGATCGCGTGAAATGTAATGTATTTACGATAGAGAAATTTGCTCTCTCTGTGCTGCGTTGCGTTGCGTTGCGTTGCGTTGCGTTGCGTTGTTTGCGACATGGAGCAGAGATTGGAAGAGCGAAGCGTGTGACTCGTATTACTCGAGTATCGAGCCGCTGCTTGCAATGAGTCACGACGAATCGCGGACGAGTGGGTGGGTGTGCAGTTACTTGCGTTGCACGCGTTCGATGCATACAGGGCGATGCACATAGGTGAGCGAAGTGAATTTTTCATCGATGGACGTTTCGGCTTCGGCAACCCCGTTTCGTCGTCGTTACATTTAGTTAGGTTTGAACTGCACCAAACCAAACCAATGTTACGGACAATTTACTCGCGAAATTAGTTACAAAACGCTCGACCTATCTACCCATCAGCCACTTCCTCTTCCTTCACGTTAAATAGATGGACGGCCATTAAACGCCGAGAGTGGAGGAAGAGTTATTGTGTTGCCGGGTTAGCATAATACATTGGAACGCGTGTGTCACGAGTGGTAGGACGCGTTTCCTACGCTCTTTTCCTGCTCTTCGAATTGGTTGCTCGATATCTGGTACTAGGTAAATTAAGGAACGCGTAACGCGCAACGCGCAACGCGCAACGCTCTCCCCCTACGGTTCGGTGGTTGAGCGCTTCAGCGGTGGTTTCGTGTCACGGGTCACGGGTCGCGGGTCACGATCCTCGATCCTCAGGAAACAGATATGACGCGCGTCGCGAAGCGTGAAAAGCCCGAACGCACCCAACGATTACGCTCGAATACGTGCGGACCACCGAATATATTTAACGCACCTATTGCAGCACCTATTGCACTTACCATTGCGTCCACGCGTACAGGATCGATCGAAAATTTCACGAATTGAGAGTATCTAGACGATGGAGGAAATGATCGATTGGAAACTAAACTTGTTTAGAATAGGACAGGCGGGAGAAGGGAGAGGAAGGAAAGTTCACGGTGGGAGCAGAATAAGGGTGTTGTAAGTAAGAAGCAACCATAGGAGGCAACTTCGTGGCATCGAATACGTAATGTCCGCGAACGAGCGCTTTGTAGCCAGCACGGAAGTCTCGGCTGTGTATAACACATTAGCATTACGAACTAACACCGGGGACGGATTGTAAAGCATCGATGTATCTGCTGTAATAACTGTGAACTGACTTTGCGCTCCTCATACTAATGAGATGGATTTTAATGGCTCGATTCCCTTGGGACCTGGACGCTCGCGAAAAATCAAGTTTGCCGCGACTATACTAGGCGTTTCCGCGGCAAGGAGATTTCGGCGTGTGTCGCGCAAGCCCGATAACGATATTCGCTGGAACGCGATGTTAATTGGCATTGACAATTGACTGGGGGCAAAGCGAACGTGGGAGATGCGAATCATTTTCGGTTGGGCGGAGGCTAGTTGATTATCCGCTTCTCTTGCGCTCTCTCGACGAGTACCGTTATGCTCGTGGCGCCCGGGGCCACGAGATCCCTTCTTTCCTCCTTTTCACCTTTTCTCCTCTCCTCCTTCTCTCCTCCTCCTCCTCCTCCTCCTCCTCCCTTACCCCCTCCTTCTTCTTCTGCTGCCTTGCTTTTCTCCTTTCCTTCGTTCCTCCTTTCCTTCTCGAGCCTATTCAACTCTACTTGCCTTGATCTCTCTTCTGGCATGCCATGCCATGCCCTATCCAACTACCTGGTTAATCGTGGAACACGGAAACGGACCTCGAGAGGGTTCAGCCGTGTTAGAGCGCAAGTATACCACGAGAATCCTCGACAAAGTTGAAATTATTAATTCGGTCGTTGGAAAACACGTGGAGTTAGTTAAAGTTGTATCGACCGAAAGAGAGAGAGAGAGAGAGAGAGAGAGAGGCGGGGGGGGGGGGGCAAAAATCCTCTGTGAACGTTGACCTACGGTACCGAAGATCAGGGAAATTTATATCTGCTGCAGCGAGTAACCGGTAGTAACGGATCGAGACCGTTACGAAATATGACGTTTGAACGATGCTTATCGGCAGGTACCTACTTACCACGGTTATATTTGCAGCAACGGTTGATCGCGTATACGCTATCGAACCTTTCGAAGAACGTACCGATTGAAATTCTAGGCAGGCGTTTAGAGAATAAAAGTATGTAGCTAAATACTTGGGTCGGTAGTCGGTGGGGGGGAGTGCTGTGTTGCGGATGCAATCCCGCGAGAAGCGGAGCGAGAAGGAGAAGGTGAAGAATTGGGTGGTTGGTGGTAGGAAATGGAAATGTGGTAGGTGGAAGTAGGAAAGTCGCGCTATGCGTCCCTCCGGCGAAGAAAAGTTCCGAAGAAGGTCTTTAGCCTTGGGCGCGCACCGCGCGGCCTGCAGGAAGACCGGTGAGCAGCAGCGACTTTTAAGATGCGTACCGACACGCATTCTACGTGTCTCTCGGCTGCGTAGCAATCGTGTCAGCAATGCCGGGAACCGTGAAACGCATGTAAATCTTTTCTTCGCAGAGAGTGGAGAAGAGTGATCGTACACCGACACCGACCGAAACTTTTCCCCTCTTGAATAACCTACGTAGAATCCCACAATAGCCACATAAGTAGATTTTGCTCTCTCGTTGCGATTTTCGAAGACGCCTTTTCAGCGTATTGCGCAACGCCACCAAGCCGGATATAGGTCAAGAAACAAGATTAGTATCTGCGGAGCACGACGTGCAAGCATAAACCGCGCCGCGCCGCTCCACTCCACTGGAGAGAGCACACGGGGCTTTCGCTCGGGTACCGCTCTACTCGCATTCCCTCTATATGTATTTTCCTCTCGCGACATCCATCCAAGACCTAACCTATTAGCTAGATC